TTTTCTTAGTGTGTGCTTTCGTTTTTGACTTGTATATGCTCTTAATCATACCACGTATTCTACGTTTAAGCTTAGCCTGCAGACCAAGACGAAGGCGCTGGACTGTTCCATTTTCTGCACTATCAAGCAAATGTCTGCATATCTATTTATGTATGTATGTATAATAACGACAAGACAGAGAGTAGAAAATAAAAATTAATAAATAAATATTAATGTTAGCAGAAAGCAAAAGACGATTTTTTTTATTAAACGTATCAGATTTCCAAACAAAAATAAATGTACAAATTGCAAAGTCATATGAAGCTGGCAACATTGTCAAGCAGTCATTTAAATTTTGAAGTACGTCTAATACTTATCGCGATTCATAATGATTTCGATTTATAGGGTTGGCCAATCTAAACAGGGTGAGGTCGGAAAAACAACAACCCTTGGTGGTGAGAAAACCCGAATCATTCCAGGGCGTAGAATCGGCTGTCGTGGGAATGATACAACTCCGTCGCAAGGTCACGGCTCCTGGGCTTGCCGTTAGATAAGCTTGACGACAACGATTGGTAGACTAATTAATTTAGGCGAGGCTTTCAAGTGTCGCTACAACAACAACATAATGATTTTTACATTATGGCTATAGAAGAAGCTCTTGATGTTTTGACATGTTCAAGTAATATTCGTCGAAGCATTGAAAATATTCCTTTCCTTATGAATTAATGGAGTAGTCTGCGAAAAATATGAGCTTTGTTGTTGTCGTAAAATCACAAAAATTTCTAGAGTTTTAGAGAATGTTGCTTAATGACATACATATGTACATGCATACCATCTCGTACACTCCGTCGTCGCGCAATTGTAGCCAGACCACCCTTGCTGAAGTGGCGAGAAGTTGGATTTGACTTTGACAGGGAGGTTAAGGTCCGTGCACCGAAGAAGTGAGAAAGATCGGAGAGATAACTATCCTTTATTTCTTCAAAAGTTCATTAAGCAACATTAGAGATCAGTGAAACTCCCTCTGGTAGCTGAGAAAGATTTCGAGATGTAGAAGTTAAACAGTAGTGGCTACCCGACACCACCTAACCGACACATCGTTCAATGGTGATGGGCTTCAAGATTGGATTACGACAGAATACAGACGATTTTTGATCACTGATAATCACTCGTTAACCCTATGGAAGGGAGTATTACTACATGGTCTCTAGTAGTGTCGAGTTCCAGACAGTGGCTAAAGCTTCGACAAATCAAAACTGCTATGACAATTCTCTCACAGATACAATTTTGGTTTAGGCTACGAGTTTCTTGGTTCATTATGGCGTTAAGTGCTGTGCTGATTGTTGTTCTAACAGCATATAAATTCCCCCAAAGAGTTTGTGGGGAAGTGTTGCTGGAGTGACAGTCCTTGGCCAGATATAAATCTGCATTGTTCCGGTTACGTACACCCGACTGTCGTAGGAACTTTGCTGTGCTGATACTTTGATTCGCTGAGGTCAGGTGATATTGGTGCCGAAGAGCAAACCCCGAAGAGGTTTTACTTATCGGACAACAATACTCAAATTTGGTGCCTAGTTTCCACATTTCAGTAGTGAGACCAGTCTTCAAGGGTGGCAAATAACAGAATGAAGACTTTAGTGAGACATTCTACTGCCGCCGAACGCAATTGTGTAACTATCAGGATAATAGTATATTGGGACCAATGTCTTTGGAGAATGAGGATCCGCTTCATCGGGTTTTATAGAGACCTCGCGGCACCACCAAAGATTACGCACACCAGACGTGATGTTGTAGGTGTTCACGTGCTCTTTCCAGTTCTTCCGCTTATGTTTGTTTGACAGTTGCCGAATATGCAAATTGGGAGGTCTGATCGACGTGGCGTAACGTGCAACTGTAAGATAGGCGGTTAAATATTCTTCGAAAATGCCGTTTAAAGTGTAATTAATGTGTCAAGTACTTAAGACACAATTTCATATTACTAATTGGCCACGAATTTGATAAAAATGAATTAATAAGCCAAAGTTCGTGTTTCTTATTCATAAAATCTGTGTGGGGTTTCTGTACATATGTACGTTCATACATACATATGTACGTTCACATGCAATATGGTTCGATATTTTTTTAATAAAAATAAACCAGTGTGCTGCGTTTTTTGTCTTCCCATTGCAGCAGCAGAATGAACTGTAAACTTTCGATTTCGAGTCAAATGTCTTTAGCATACGGCTTTTACATATGTATGTTTGTACGTAGTTAAAAATAGTGCAAGCATGAGTTTCAAACTGGGGAAATGGGTATAAACGGAAACGTGATATTTGAACTGTGGAATATTTATTATTTTTGTAATAATTTTAATTGTGTAATTATTTCTAGACATGCATATATGTTTCTACTTACATAACGACCCCTTAGCCCAAAATTATCGTAGGTTACATTTTTTATGAAATTCACTTTTTGATGCAACTTTATTTTACAACCTATAACGCATCACCTGTTTAAATATTACGGCTTAAATATCAATAGCAACTCCACAAATTGACTGTAAATTTTACCGTATGTGACAATGCATTTTTTCTTGTGGGCGAAATTATCGCATGTGCTAAGAAATTCAAATGTAGAGACCTTAAAAAAAAATCTTCAGCAAATCTAAACTTTTGTTTAATGGCAGAAAATGGCCAAAGCAGAAAAATACAAAGAATACTTTCTTGTAAAATTTGTTTTTTTGTAATACATATACAATAATTTTGCGCAAAGGGCTCGATATGTACCTAATATGAATATTTAAAATAATTTTCCATTGGCATTTTCTAGTTGTCATACGGGCATATAAAGGTTTACTAGCCGAAACGCCACTGGCTTTAATGCTGCCATCCCAGGCAGGCAAACGAGAAGTGATCAAAATGCATACAAACATACTCGCACAATTGAGATGAGTCAAGCGAAACATGCTCCTATACTTGAATATGAATCATAAGTTTTAAATTTAAAATAAGCAGCAGCACAAACAACGGAAACTAACAAAAAAAGATAACGGCTATCGATAAGAGTGCACAAGTGAATTCCTCAGCATCTGGTTGCGCTGCTTGTAAGCCATTTGATGACACTAATGTAAACGCAGCGTGTATACTGAGGTTTACTCCACCGTGTTACATATGATACATTTCAGGTTCTTAATTCATATTTAATCTACGTCTCCTCAACATCTCCTTCATATTTAAGATAGGAACATAAAATTATCAGATCAATTTGATGGTAGGATAGTCTTCTCTGCTTCGGAACTCAACTTCCCAACGTAACGAGCCGCATGCCGGAAAGGATGGTAGGCTGGAGGCGGCTGGTAGGCAGCTGTGAAAGAGCCAAAAAGGAAAGTGAAAAAGTGAATCAACATTTTAACTGCAGCCATCACCGACAACCACAACGACGACGATGACAACGAAGCAGCCGACCAAACATAGAGGGCGAACCAGAAATGAATATGCGAAGCACAGAAGTGATAAAAGTAAATGGGAGAAAAATGTTTGTTTTTTTTTGCCTTTTGGGATGTTGGAAAAATGTTGCTGCGTTGCGGCGCTCCTTTATTCTGCAATACCACGATGATGACAAAAAGACTGGAGAAAATGTATTGGCTTGGAATGCAAAAATTGTTCTGAATTATTGTACGTACATACATATGTAGGTAGACCCTTTGAGTGCAAGAAGTCACGCACATTAGTTAGCAGCTGTATGGACGAATGGAAAATTTTGGGAATCCTATAACGTCATCTTGTTTTGATTTATTAACATACCATTATTGTTCTGATCTAACTATTAATCCAATTTTTAGGTTTTAAGCTCAACTTGTTTTTTTACTATCTTCATAGCTTAGTCTACTTATATTTACAGTCGAATGATTGTTGGTAACCAAAAATGCAGCTGCACAGTGCACTTGCTACCATAGTGGCAACATTTAACGCACAATTATTATGTAAATTCATAAATATATAATCTGCTCTTATTTGTTTTACATTAGTTAAAAGCGGTTGAATGAAACCTTGAACTATTGCAGTTTCCTTGATGGCCCTGTGCAGGGTATTGTAACTTGAAGTATTGCCGAAGTTTACGTTTCTATTTATTCCTTCTTTCACAATTCGCTCTTACGTCAAACGTAATGCATTGCAACAACACAAAAAGGGCAGCGACGCAACATTTTGCCAAATGCAAATGGTTTTCCAATGGTAATTTAGACATATTTTTTCGCTTAATACTGATTTCACAGACTTTTATCTTTTACAAAATATATGCCGCTTACAAGCTGGCAGATAATTATCAACTCGTTGTTTTAGTTATTGTAAACAGGAACAATTTCATATAGTTCACACACACGCGGCGAATTTGATGGCTAATGAAATCTGTGCACTCGCCGTTGTGCAAAAATTTAGTTTGCGAAATTTTTTGTTGCTTATTTCTTCACATTTCTATATTTTTCATATTCCAATAGCCGAACCGAGGCACTGTGAATTAATCAAAAAACAGAAACAGAAAACAGCAGCGGTTACCGCAGCGCCGCTGTCAGCATCGAACTTTTCTCGGTTCATTCGGTTCACAGGCAAAGCCAGCAGGCAAGCACACATTCACATCGATTTGTTGCACTAATTTCCTAAACATTTTACGCACTTACAAACATAATGTACACTCGGAAAACATTGCTAAACTGTAATTAGTGCAACGCTAAACACTTTTTAGTTATTAACACCTTTGTACACTACTAATTTCAACTGCAATTTAGTGAAATTTTTCGCAAAAAATTCATTTTTGCCAATCGAATCGACAACGAAGTGTGGAAATGACACACGGCAAAAAAATTTTGACAGTTGCAGCAGCGCTGCGTAACCGTGCCGAGAAGAGACGAGCGCTCTAGTAACGGACGAAGAGCGCATTTGGCAACGTCTCTGCGGCAGCGGCTCTGCGCGCATACACACACACACAAACGCTAAAGAACACACTTTTGATCAGACAAAACGCAGCAGGGAATTCCAATTGAAACCTACACAATTTCGATAGCGTGGTCTTGTTATAAACATGTGTTTTTCGTTAACGAAACGTTTACACGTACTTTATTTTGCACAATTAAGGTTATTTAAGCGATGCGTAAATTCACATTCCATCTGCAAAAAACTCTTCACAACGAACTGAACTGACGACTGCGAACGAACGAACTAAAGTACGAATGTCAAATATCTGACAAAATCGAAAAAACAAAATCAAAAAAAAACAAAAAAAAAATCATACCACCCTGTGCTTTTAGTAGTACAAATGATTTCCGGTAGTGCATTCCAGTAATATTGACATTTGCACCGGCGCGGCGTGTCGCTGTAGTCGCTGGCAATGATGCGTTGAGGGAAAAATGTTACCAACCGGTTCAGCGCGCACATTCTAGTAATTTCCGGTAGTGCATTTTGGTGGATTGTTATGTTATTAAGGTTTTCACATTAGCTTACGGTTTTTTTGCCAGCAGGTGACGCAAGTGTAGTTCATTGCCGGTAATGCAGGTCATTGAAGGTTTGTGTAAATTACGTCGATAAATAAGGGATTGCAGTGAAATTTCGAGGACGATATTTATAATGCCAAAGATGACTGAGCAGGAGCTAATGAATTTAAAAATAAAATTATTTCTGTATTAAGATTTGTATGTTTTTTTTTATTTTTTGGAAAATCCAGATTATGTACAGGAAAATCTCACACGCATATGACAAGTCAAATATAACGAGGACTTACATGGGGTTCCCGCGACAATCGGATTTACGTAACCGGAATGAATCAGATTTGTATCAGGCCAAGGACTGTCACTTCAACAACATCCCCCAAAACTCTTTGGGGAGTTTTTATGCTGTTAAGACAACAACTAGGGCTGACAATAAATTCTATCTGCAATTAAAAAAGAAATGTGGGGTACATTCATATATATATACATAAGGACATACATATCGTCGCTTAAAGTACAAAACCGCGTATCCAGACAATGCAAAAACGCGTACGTGAGGTTACTATCGACGTTTTCTAATTATTTTCTAGAGATTAAAAACACTCACTCATATGTCAAAATGGTTCTATTTTTTATGAAGCAATCGCATTTCTGGCTAGTATATTTCAGGACGAATGGATAAGGATTGAGCCAAGAGCTTGTGGGAGCAAATCAAATTTTTGGAAAAAATGTTGTACTTTGAACGACGATAGGTACATTAGGGTGCATCAATCTTCAAACAAAAAAATGGGAACTGCTTTTCCACCGGAATTATAAAATTTTTTATACTTATTTTAAGGGCCGTTTTCACCATACCTTGTTAACACTAATCCCTCGTTAACATCGTTATCGATACACTGCTATCTGAATGAGGTCGGTAATAGCCGTGTTTTATTTGTCTGTTTGTGTGGTTGGTTTCAACCACTGTGATCTTTTGATAGGTCGTATCAAGCTGCAGATGGCTTAACGAAGGCACGCGTACGGTTAACCTTTCGACCTTTTTGCAAGACATCCTAGCCTCCACTTTGGACCACCACAAGATCTTGGAGCCACATTGAACAGTCTCTTCTCCATCTCATCACATACCGTCACCACTTGCAAGGAATAAAGTGCCATGAGCAAATTCATCAACTCGCAAACCGGCAGTGTTTGGGGAGCCGACATCGGTGGGAGACTATAAAGCACACGGGGCTACAGGCTGCCATCTCATGCCATCCATGCGGCAACACCACGAAGAAAGCCATATGCTGGTGGTGAGGCAGCACAGCATCTTTCTATTGCGGTACCAATCTGGCTTGAAAACTTTGATCGGAACATAAATAGATCTTCTGTTCAATGGGACACAATAAAAAGTGACGCTCAACAATGTTCACAGCGATTCTATTTGGATAACTATTCACACTTGCGAAGACAAAATCGGGCTAGAAGAACTACCGAGTGGGACCAGCTCAGCTCCATGACGCGTGGTGCCACAGACTAAACAAGTTCCTACCTCAGCTGAACTCAGAAATGGCGGTTTACGACGACTCAGAGACCGGAAGCACTGTGCAGTGCGCCCATTGACGGCGTACGCTCTCTTGGCCTCACACTCGCCGATTATTTCACTAATTTTATTGTTGTAAGAATGCAGTTGTATTTTCTACCCCAAACCAAGCCTTAAGGGGAGAAGAATTTTCATTGCTGGGCTCCAGAATGCAGCTGGTGTCAGATCGATGGTATGGAGCATGCGCAGATAGACTGCGGTTAGCCATTTCCGCATTTCTGAATTGATCCTATCGCAACCCCGAGCTCAGCATACTGCATAAACCAGACCGGAGTTGGGCAAGGGTGATTCGAGTGTCCCTTCGACAATGATATACGGTCGACATCTTGGACCCGTCTGCCTCCGCGTGCCACTATAGGATCACATCCTTTGTCCAGGTAGTAAATAATGTGACCGTTGACTAGGTTGGGATGTCTGCAAGTTGCGCGCCGTGAAGATGCAGTGCAGTTTCTCGAGTTAGAAGCCAATCAAAGTGTGTGAGAGAGTGCCGTCCTGTGAAAATCACCATTAAATTCTTGTAACGTGCCTTAGAGATCCGATGGCGACTTACCTGGTAATTGAAAAACTAGCGACTTGTAAGAGAATGGCATTATCGGGTCTTAGCACACGATCCATTCTTATTCAGGTCCCCATGTATTTGTGACGATATGAAGTGCATCAGAGTGAACGTTTTAAGGATTTTGCGGAATCCTCACTGGTAGAAAGCAAATCCCAGACGCGTTGCGAATGATGGTAGGAGTAAAGCTTTGGGTGTCTCAACCGCGAAGGAGAGGCGATGATGCTCGCAGACGAATCACCGAAATCCTTGCGATTTTCTGTGAGAATAGAAACAGGTTGTGTTCTTTATTATCAACTGCTAGGAGATGGTCTTGTTCATGACTGGCTGGTTGTTTTTCCAACAGATCACACAAGGACTTCAAAGCTGCTCTGTGAATGATTATCGGGTCTTGTGCTAATTGACAATTCGCTTAATTTTGATATTTTTATCCTTAATCCTTGGATCGTCTTATTTCGACGACGTACTCCGTCTGTTATTGCCCTTGGCTCCGTAGAATAAACTGCCCTTTGGGTGTTCTTCTGCCTACTAAAACATATAAAGCGAGAGCCTGCTGTATTCATGATCTCGTGGAGGCTTTATTCCTCTATGCAATTGCCTATTGGTGGGGATGGAATACCTATACGAATATTGATGAAACTTATGAAACCTTATCAAAGATTGCGATATCATAGATCTGTGGCTAAATTTGTTTTAAAGAGCAAGTTGATAGGTACTCTTCATAACCTTTAATCTTTAATATACATAATTATAATTTGAATTGAACTTTAACACTAATTAGCACCACCATCCCATATATTAACATATGTACATACATATGTCTGCATTATCAGTACACATTACTAAAAAACATAAAGAACGGAAAATACTTGCCATACAGTAGTTTATACAAAACCTGTGATAAGCAATATTTTATCATTCACTGCTCTCGGTGATGGCGTTGATGGTTTTATCTTCGAGTTTGTCTACTGATTTGCTGATTTGATAAGAATGAAGTATGTTAGCAAACATAGGTCCTGTCAGATAAAAAAGCACACTCCTACATGTGTACACTGAGAAAAAGGTAGTTATTAAATATTAAAAAAAGTGGTTATAGTTACGGTGACCGGATTTCTGTGGCCAAAAATCGGGACATTTCTAAAGCATCTAATCCGAACCTACAATATTGTTTTTAGAATAAAACGACATAACATCTTTTAATACACTTTTATTTAAGACAAAACAAAGATAATTAACTTGACAAATGATCTCCAAAATGTATACACACAATAAATATGAACGATGGCGAGAATGTAAATAGCAAAAAGACATTTTAGCAAGTTTTGGCTACTTTTCTTTGTTTAAAAAATGTTAATTATTTTTTATGAAAATATAACTTACTATCTAAAAAAAACATGTAAATCAAAATTTCAAACTTTGTAAAACATTTATAAAAATTCGACAAATTTTAACAAATGTTGATCAAAATTTTAATATAATTTAACTTTTTTTTTGTATGAAGTTTTTTAGCCCTTTAAATTGTTGTATAAAAAAGTGCAAAATTAAGTAACTTGGTCTTAACGTTGATTTTCGGAAATTTTTTGTTCGCGCATATTCCACCAAACAAAGTATGTTCAACAATTTTATTATATAGAGAAAATGAGCAACATCTTCCACGAAAAAAAAATTTATTAAAAATCTACGGTAAGTCCAAGCTACTTAAAATTTTCACTTTGAATTGAATAGGCTACAAAACTGTATACTCAGAATGTCTTTGAGAAATCTAATTAAAGAGCTCAAAGTTTTGAGAGAATTTTGTCGAATTTTGCTAATTTTTGTGCAAAGTTTGAAACTTTGACATACATGGTCTTTGTTAGATAACGATCTAACTTTCAGAAAAAAAAAATAATAAACATTAAATAATCGCCAAAGGATGCTAAAATGTCTTTTCGCAATTTATTATTTCGCCACTGTATCTACAACTTATATTTTTCGTATATATGATATTTTTGAGCGAATTAGTATTTTTTTGTATAATTTCACTAAATTCAAGTCAGAATCGTTTGTACGAAAAATTATTTTTGGGCCAGAGTACAGGGAAACTCTTATTAAATTAATGAAGAAAACATTGAAAATCGGGACTTAATCAGTACAAATATGAAAAATCGGGACACTTATACGTCCCGACTTTTAAAAAATATTCAGCGGGACAATTTTCTCAAAATCGGTACTGTCCCGCCAAAATCGGCACGAATGGTCACCGTAGTTATAGTTATCAAATACACTCGGCTGAATACACTCGGAAGTTTGTCATTGCCTTCCGAAGGGCGACCGCTATTCGCAAAAATGTTTCTTCTTGTATCTTGTTTAACCCGTACTAAGTAGAATTTTCCTCTCTGTGTTGCCGGAAATGATGGGCGGAAGTATTTTTGCGCAGAACTTCTTTCTTTGTTGATACATAATAACATTTCACACGAAAATTATATGGAAAACTAAGTTGTAGAAATTTAACCCCAATTACATGATATTCGCACCAGTGATAGGCTGCCTAATACCATGTTCTGACCGACAACGAAAACACTTTAAGGGCCAGTTTCTCAATGTCTGGTTAGCACTAACTGCAGGTTAAACATGGTTATCGACGTGATCGACCCCATAACATATAACAGGAAACCGATAATGATGTTTAACCTGTAGTTAGTGTTAACCAGATATTGAAAAACTGACCCTAAAAGTGAGGTTTGGGATTGTGTGCTGAAGGCTGTTCACCCTGGTTCACAGTGTTTGCGTTGACATTACTTACATCCTTTGTTTACAGTTTTGCTACAAAAAAAAATCTTTTCTCTTATTTTCCTTTCATTAACAACCTTTTTCTTTCATTCTTATTTTAATTTGGCCAGGCAATTAACAATAAATCCGAACTGGCGTATTAAAGATGATAAAATATGACTTCCACTTCGATGAATATACATATCTAAAAAAACTAGTGCCGACACCGACTGGAATGAGTGGAACGTGAGTTTTCCAGTTGTTTTCAGCGAAAACTGGTTTTCGTTTGACAGTTTTTTCATGGACGAAAACACAAGTTTTAGGTCGAAAACCAGTTTTAGCAACGAAAACTTGTTTTCGATGTCAGTCAGAATATGGTATAAATACTTTTGTATTTTAAGTACCAGTTTGGGTACTAAATACTCAATGACTAAATACTTTATGATTTAGGGGAAAGTTAAAAAATTAACACCTCGCACTCACCTCAACTTGCTTTACCACAACTTACTTCACCTCATCTCAAATCAACTCACCACACACAAACTCATCACACCTTACTTAAACTCACCACACCTGATCCTACCAAACCTAAATTCACGAAACCTTAACTCACTACAACTTAATTCAACACACCCGTTCTCACCACACCTCACCTAAACTCATCATACCTCAATTTAGGAACTATTTCCGGTTTTTAGAGATTTTGGGAACAAATCAGGATTTTCACAAGACTATTTCGAGTTTATCGGAACTATTTCGGGATTTTTGAGACTGCTTGCGGATTCCCTGGGCTATTTCGTGATTTTCGGGAGTATTTCGGAATTTCACATATATATATTTATCGACATTATTACATTGTTATTGATATATTTATCGATATTGTTAAACATATTTACCGATATATTTATCGATATTTCATTAAACAACCTCCGGACCTAACAGCACACCGACAGCCCATAAACGGCATTCACAGGGAGTCGTTCTCAATCTACATCGACTCCCGACCTGTGAATGATGTTTTGGGTACCCAACCACCCGACGTGAACGGGAGAGAGCTTTGTCTGCCTCGGAAGACTCGTACCACAATAGCCCAACTTTACTCTGGCTACTGCAGCAGGTTAAACTCGTACCTGAGCAGAGTGAACGCAGATGTACCCAACGAGTGCCCGGCGTGCGGAAAGTCGCCACATGACTTAGGACACCTCTTCACATGCCCCCAAAATGCAATCCAGCCAAAGCCCTTGTGCCTATGGACAAACCCCCGTGGAATTTGCGAACCTCCTGGGTATCCCGTTAGCTCAGCCTGACGACAACGTTTGATGGGCAAAAACAACAACAACGTCGCTCGGGATACACAAATAGAAATTTTCAGTTACCACAAATTAAAGGAGACATACAGAAGCCATTTTTTGTTTAATTTACGGCCTCCTTATGCACAATACTTTTAATTTTATGTTGCGGTGTAGAAGCATAACGTTATCTAAAGGTGAAAAGGTGACAAGTCCATTTTTTTTTTTAATTTTTCAGGAGATGAAAAATATATGTAGTTTCGCATTATCTGTCATTCTGCATCAAAAACTACATAAATTACAACAAAAAAAAAAAATTGAACTTGGCATCATTTCATCTTTAGGTAGCGATAAATACTATTCGGACATCCCACTTGTGAGCATTCGACATATAACTGACCATGGGTACGGCTGGGTTTTCCAGCTGAGGCCCAGTCACTTTTAATTTTTCACCTTGCGATTTATTTATCAGATGACAAGACAAAGCATCCCAGAAAACTGAAGCCTTTTAAATGCAAATGGAAGGTGTGTGGGAATAAATGGTACTCCTGACATAAACACATCTTCTCCTTTGCCGCTTTCAGTAATAGTTTTTGCTTCAATTATGTTGGTCTTCCTTTTCTGTACTACCAATCCTTTTCCATTATTTAGGCCAAGTGCTACGACTACGTGCAAATTCTCATTATCTTTTAGTTTACTGTAGAATATTCTGTTTAGCTGTCTATTTGAAATGTTTCCAAGGTTATGGTTTCCTGAAGGCACTACGTTTTTTTGGAGGTGCCACGCTTTTTGGTAAACACTCACCCCTTTTAGGTTTACCTACTATAAATGCCTACTTTGGAAATGTAAGTCACGTGACATATGATTTAAAGCTGATTAAAAATTTCACGCTCATGGGAGGTGCCGCCACTCCACTTGTCATATACCATGTGAATATTATTAAAGCGAATTTTAAGAAAATGCATTTTAAATAGTAGATTTTGCCATTTAAATTTAAAAAGCACCTTTAAAAATGATCAAGTATACGGCTTATATAAAATCTTATGAAGTTAAGTCCATGGTCTAGGTGGTCGCATGTTATGCAGCGGTGGACCAGAAGTGGTCCCATGTTATGCAGCGGTGGACCAGAGATGGTCCAATGTTATGTAGAGTTGGACCAGAGGTGGTCAGGTCCAATGACATCGCAATGTTAACGTAACCATATTTTATCCATATGTTTGGACCATTTTGGTTACTAGTGTTTCTTACAAGGTAGCGTAGTCCTGTACTAGTATTTAGCCTAGTCCCACTTTTTGCACTCCACTCGCCTAAGCTCAAACTTCTGTAAATTGTTGCTGATGGGGTTTTATTCTATTTGTTCATTGCAATAAATACTCACACGATTATTTACCATGCTGCACTGGAATATTACGAAACTGTGCCATTTCCCCAACTACCCTTTAATCTAGAATATTATTTATTAATAGATATACTACTATCTCTCTGCTAACTGTTTTAAGTTTATTTTCGAATGACTGAGGTGTTTGTATTTTCATGCAAATATTTGACTTAAATGTTAAAAATAAAATTTCTCAGCCACTTACAACTACAGCATTGATGTCATCTG